GAGAATGTCGCGAGCGGAATATTCTATCTCAAAAAGGATTTGATGATTTTAATTCTAGTGACCAGTCATTAGCAGACAAAGCGAATGAGCTGGTTTTAGCCCTTCAGAGATTAGCTGCAAAAGAAGCCAGTGCGCTGGATGGCATCCTTTGTATTTTGTTTGAGACCGGTAGTCCTAATCTACAACATGCAGCTGCAATGATAGCACATGATTGTAAGTCATAGTTGTAAGTGTAGATCTATATGAACTGACAGTTTTGTGATGTTTATTATAAGTACCATATTAGGGGATGGATTTATTGGCTAGGCTGCATGAGATTAAATTTTGTAAATAAATTTCAGAAAAGAAGCTTATTTTGCCATTGCCAATGCTTTGCCTTTGCATCACATTATTTTAGCCCTGAATGTACTGTTATTTTTGTATTTTGAAATTTAGGTCAATTTAGCAGTTTATCTAACTATGAAGATCTTATCAGGTCTCAACGAAAAGGTAAACAAAATGACATATTGTTAGAAAATTAGATTGTGTAAAATTTTGGCAAATTTGGCCATTTGACAAAATCTTAGTCTTTTTAAAAATTAAAGCAAAAATGAACTTGCTAAAAGAAAGAATCATAGCCTTACACTTTTGTGCATTTCTTATTCTCCTGTAACTGGTTTTTTCACCATTTTCTTTTAGATTTGAATTTTTTGTACCGTCAGTATAGAGTAAAATTTTTGAAGGCTATAAATTTTGTTAACTTGCATAAAAATCTTTTCAATTTTTGCTGTTTGCCATTTTGTATTGTAATGAATTGCTTTTTGCAGGATTGCTTTTGCAAATTTTTAAAAAATAGCAAAATCCACAAAAATTACAGCCCTTAAACGAGCATGTGCAGTATAAAAGGGGGGGGTGGTCTGCCCAAAAATGGAAGCAAATATTCAAAATGGCGATTACACATGATAAAACTAGCCATTAGGGAGAGATTGTTACCATCCCGTAAACTATCCGTCAACGGACTTTTACAGGCTTCGCCTGTATACTATACTGGGGCTTCGCCCCAGTATACTATCTTATAACAATATATAAATTAACAATCAGTGGGGTTGAGGCAGCAGGATCGTGGTGGCTCAGTGGGGAAGGCGTGGGGCAAAATGTGGACGTGGTACTGGTTTGAATCCAGCTCAGGGCAGGGCAAATTTGCTTTTCTTTTTTTTTACTTTCAAAAATTTAACTTTTTACCTTTTCTACTTAGCCTTCTCCCCTAGTTATGTTAGTCCCCTAGTTAGCTATTGTTTTTTTGGACTTAGCTATTGTTTTTAGGGTTTAGGGGTTAGGGTGGCGGTTTTTTTTTTTAGAGCGTCCCTACTCAATTTAGGAGCCCCTTAGTTGGTTTAGGGTTTAGTTTTTTTTTATTTCAGAGAGTCCCAAGGCTTTAAAAGTCCCTAGAGCAGTCCTGACAAAAACTAAGT